GAAGCAGACTATACCAGAGAATTGAAAAGTGATAAATTCGAATAGTTGCAAAACCGTTATCAACTGTAGAATTTGTTCATGTTCCTATTATGACTAACAAACATATAATACTAGCCTACTTAAGACAATTACACGTTGTGTCTTTTGAGGATATACAAGTTTTATGCAAACAATATTAAATTGTCACTTCATTGAGGTATTAATGTAAGCTACGAAAAAATATCCTATTCTTATGTCAAAACATTCTTATGTCTGGCTTTTCGTTTGTTTTGTCGTCATTTGAAAGCATGTGAAAAAATTCAAAGAGTTATTTTACGTGAAAATTTGAATGTCTACTAGACGAGTTGAGATGTGGCACGTTCGCATGAACAATCCTAAACTGTGAATATAAACACAAACTTACAATATGTTGATATTTCAAATACTTTTAAACGGTTTTCACATTTTTAGATTTGATTGATGTTACAAAAATAAGATATATTTTTTAAATGTACAGTTTAAATCGTTGTTTTAATGAGCTAATCAAATCTATTCAAATAAATAACCCACAGTGTTACAGTTACTCATGCAATTATCAAATAGGAGTGAAATGCAAAAGCAATTTCGTGTCCTACTTTTCTACATGGGTCCTCTATCTAATACCATATTCTAAAAGCTCTACGCTTCCTTGTCAGAACTTCCGTCCAATAACAATGACAGGGGGGTGCTATTATCTCAACCTATAAAGGTGGAGGGGGTATCAAATCACCGATTATGTAATTAAATATTTTGAGTTTATGGGTTGTATAATAATTGTTGCTTCCATTTGATCTTCTTCAGTCACAGTCTAGACTACCTTACTATATTGGTGTTGTGATGCATGAAGAAGAAAGAAAATTGAACTTTTATTTGATGGTAAAATGTAGTTAATTTGTACAAAGAATAAAAGACCGCTTCCGCTGTAAAATAACCTTTTTTCAAAAGTTGGTGTTTTGGGTCTTAAAATACACGGAACTACTCGACGTTAAACCACAATCAATGCTATGGCCCTCGCGGAACACAAACAGTAATATCCTCGAACTTTTGCCATTTCAGAATTCGTTTGCTTCATAAAAAAGACATACATATAGACTACAAATATAAATTTAAAAAATCTTGCAGTCAAAATATTTACCTTTGAAGTTACCTTAAACATTCTTCTTGAACTTTAAGAGAGTTGTAAAGAACGACAATGTAGAAATACCACTCATGTCTTTACAATAATATAAATACCAATGTTTATTATTCTTTTGAAACAGAAGATGAAAGACAATTTGACATGGAAGAAATGTTTAATGACAAGATGACCTCTTGACAGGAACGTATCATGAATACATATTTTATTAAAAGAAATAAAGCATGGACTAGTACAAGTAAACTGACGAGATGATGCTCCACTCTTGAACTTTGATTGATTGGTCTGATTGATTTGTGTTTTTGTATACATGAATATATCTACTTTGGAAAAAGCCTGTCATGCAGAGGTTCATGTATATTTTGATCAAATGATCCTTGAAAATGAATGTTATATATTTCAATATACAGGAGCGTTGGGATCGGTTGTTTCTATCAACTGAAAGAATTAAGCTATCCTAAAAACTTTTAAATCCGACGTCCGATTATTGATTTTATACAGGGATACAACTTCACTTCACTTCCAGAACAGGTACTGGAGTTTTCTCGTACTGGAAAGATAACCATAATATATCAGATTTTCATACTGGAAAGAGACACAGCACGCTAAATTTAGAGTTTAACCAGACAAATGTTTATATATTCTGTCTTTCAACTTTTAACAGACTAATAACACCATGGACATTACTTTCAGATTTCTAAATCACCACATATAATAAGTTGGATAACATTAATTTTATATGTATATGTATATATTGCATATAATCATTTTTACACATGGATTGTTGACTGAAGTCAAGTACAGTGTTACTTCAATTTCTATTTCCGTTACGTAATGTTACTCTTTTACTTCAAAGCACCCACTTCAAGGTACACTCACCACAACTTGATATTGAACAAATTGAAAGAGGGGGCGAGATATCTGAGATTTCCCGAATCTCTAACCTAGTTATAAGATTTTTCAAGATTTTTGCATAAAGGAGGCGGGGGGAAAGGGGTTTGGGGGGCTGCTCCGTCTGCTCGTCATTTGGCCCCCTGGTGCAATGAGATATTATTTATTATTCCTTCCGCTTTAATTTTCTTCACATTGAAATAACATTTTGCTACCCATGTGACGTGTTTATGAAGAAGACACTTCTTGCCATGGGATCTTTATTTGTACTGAATAGTGTTTTAAAATCTTTTAACTTGCAGTGAACAACGCCATTATAATATATATACCAAAATGCATTACTTTTTTTCGTCCAAAGTTTATAAAGACTAAAAACAAGCCTAATGTATGATAGCTGGCCGTCAATATGCCCACTCTTTTTTGTTCTCTGAAGAATCATACAGACATGAAAGGTTTCGCTTTTTGGCATTTTTAGAAGTTGTATTTTTGTGAAACGTTGTGCTAACACCATAGCATCATTTATATTGTTCATAGTTAGCGAGGTCTTTCGTATTTCAGATGTGTAATTTATGAGATATATGTATTGGCTAGGCTTTTATGTAGAAATGTTGTTGGTAAACCTTTATTTTGACTGTAATATGGACTGAGTTACCTAATTCTTGACTTATCACAGAAGGTTTATTCAGTATAGTCTGGTGGAATTATTCCAAGTTCGAGTACATCGTGTTAATCTAACTTCTGATGGTGATGATTTGTTTTTACGGAACTATAGCAACCGAAACAACTGTTTAATTAAAAAACATGTGCACATGTTTCTCAGCATATATGTAACTGTAATGGTGTAACTTTTTCGTTTTTCAATTGGTGTTGTCAAGATTTTTATCTTGAAAATCGCTGGTATTAATATTAATATTCTTCTTGTGGTGCATGTCACAAGAATGTTGAGCTCATGTGAACAAGTACAGCGAAGGTGTAAAGTACCCACAAATACCTTTCCAAAATAACAATCAAATTTTGGGTCTGTATGCTTACCAAAAATTTCATTTGTCGATTGGTTTTATACAATTCGACGAAGGTCTTTAAAAAAAAACTCTTAATACTAACATTATCATTGTAGAACCGAAGTTTGTAGTCTATTTAATAAATGAATAACTATTTCAAGCTGTGAAAATCAATATCCACTGAATGTCAAATTGCATCATATTTTCCTTCCTTCTATATGCATTATTTCCACTAACATTGTACCTATATAACTACCTGTATAATATCAATAATATTCATATACCTGCAAGATGTAGGTATGAACTAATCAGTGATGCAATCATCGCATTGTTGTGATTTCAAACTCTCAGCAACAAATTTTCCATGGTGAATACATAAGAATGTAATTGCCCTTAGTAGCTATTATGGGCTTTGTGGGCTCTTGGCCATGTGTTGTGCATTTTTTATGAAAAAATATCTGGTTATTTCTAGTGTTCCATATGGTATGTTGAACAGACTGTGACAGGATTACAGCTGCTACATGTGCACATGTATGGAAGTGGTTGCTCGAGCAACTAGCATGTCCGTACTAACGGTAACAACGAATACCAGGCATGAACATTTTGTCACTCGGAGTTTGTATAATCCTATCGTATTGTTGCTGTGTGTAACTTGGGTTGTGGTTGTTGAAAATTACGTTTAAATATGATGTCTGAGCTACCTTTATCGACATTGTATTTCCATATCTATCAACACCATGAACGAGCTCCATAATGCACCAGGGTGTATAAAAAAAGCCATCAGCATATTTGATGTTTGTGTCCAAACATATTTTCGCAGAAGATGACTACTAACTATACAAAGAGATCATTTTCTGGCAGGTTGGATTGCTTAGTGAAGGGCTTTAGCCTTGAAAATGACGGGTGGACTGGGAGCAGATTCATAAGTAGTACTCTTATCCAACACATATGTGATTCTGTTGAGCAGAAAGTCCCTATCATTCAATTAGGACGCTTTAATACAATTGACAGGTGATGTATGTTCTATTCTAGATTATGATTTATGACATAGGTTTTGATATATTCCTCTTCGCCGAAATTCAAATGAAATCCTTCGTCCTGCCCTCATCCTAACTCCTACTATCCTAATTTTCCAGTTTTCATAGTTTTATCTATTTCAGTATCACAATTTGAAGTATGATTCATACACTAGACCTACTCTAGTTTCAGTGACATTAAGTCTTTAATCTTTATCATATATAATTTGGAAGGTCGCTAGGCTAAGTAAGTGTGTTTCGAATTAGCAGCAGGTTTATCTGGTATTGTCATTATTTGTTAACGGGAATCTTTAGTTCCACATCTCATTTTTGCCTGTTCCACTGGTGCAAATAGAATAGTAAATTGCCAACCTTAATGCAACTGTTACTGCGTTTGAAAATCGTAATGTCTCACAAAAGAGGATCTGATGCACATTTCGCCATAACATTCATCAGGGTGCTAACAGAACCTTAAAAACGTCTGTACAAAAGAATACATGTACAAAAGTGTCAATATTTTTTTTATATACATACATATTATTCATATATACATAAACACGAATTTGCTTATCTTCACAATCACTGGCAAAATAGGGTGACCATGTGAACAAGATATACCACTGTGGTGAGTAACTAATAAACTTACAAAATAAAGTTTTTAATCCAGGATACTAGTGTGTTTGCCAAGTAAAAAGGGACTACAATTTATTATGTCAACATATAAATAGTCGCCATCATATTTCTAGCAATGATGTAGCTTATTTTCCACTGATTGATTTTCCAGATATTCCTTGCTGGGTCTCTCGAGTTGTAGCACATGAATGACAATGTATAATATTGATTACATTTCATTTATTCACAACAAAACCTGAAGAATATTTGAACAGATAGGTGTCAATTCTGAACAGAATTTGTCTTTGAATACAACTTAGTTTTCACTCATTTAAACATAAATGTTGTGTTTAAAGTTGAAAAATCTAAATCTTGAGCGAAATTACTGTGTTGGTGTATCCTGCATTCTGATTTGCCTGTGCAAGTATGTGACTGTCTCAAGTGATTACTTTTTTTGATCGTTTGTAACTGAACATCTGATTGGCCCTCTATACTTCGTAACCTTTGTAGAAATCCCCTGTAAACAAATTAAAACACAAGTATGTAGACAAAAATGATAACAATTTGTGTATCTAGGATAATCAAAAAAATGCAAGAGTTAATCATAAAAACTTCAAAGTAATTTAAATTAATCATAAAATGTACAGTTATTTAAATAAATCATAAAACTTTACCGGTCAATATACGTCTGGAAGACAAGATTATCTTTCCGTTCTCTTTCAGAACAACCAGTATTTTTTGAAGTATCACCATCTGAAGGTGATGGCCAAAACATCTTCTCCTATAACCTGTAGAAAAAAAACTAAACTAGATTAACAAAACAAACTCTGCTTGATATACACTTTGGGGTTCTTGGAGTACAATATAGTCTGAGAAATCGTTAACAACTGTTGCACCACCCACATATTGTGTACACATATCATAGTAATATTCCAATATTAGTAACATAAACATATTTTCATAACATTATTATTGACAAGTGAGTTTTCCACTGCACTAATCTTTTAATTCACATATCTTCGAAACGTCTTGACCGTTTAAAAATGAGTGTGTTTATTATTCTTTAAAATCTCTCGTGGTGATCCTCGACTTTGTTCGCCGATAAGGTGCAAAAAAGTACGCTAAAATTCCAATTAGTTCTAAAAAAAATCCAAAAAACACATCACATCTGCACATTTTACGCTTACAGCAATATATTAAAAGTGATTCTTCTCATCAGTTGGTTATTGACTAACAGTCTAGGAGTTACGGGGATTGACTAAATATTTCTTGTGTGCATAGATCAAATGGAGTATTTGTTTTTTTCGTTACGTGACGACCAGCACTCGTGAATATGATGCAATACAAAAAATATGTACAATATTGATAAGCGTGTTCAATGTTGTTATTATATATAGCCTACAGAATGTTCACATATGGTTCTCATATATCAAACATATCATGAAATTAGTTGGAAAATCAATACCTAATGTTCACCAAGTTCAATCACTTACAAGAATGGGCGAATTGAAAATTAATTAAAAGCTGCACTTTTTTCATTTCCGGAGAAATCTCAAATACTTAACATTTTATACAAGAGAAAAGATCACTTCAAACTTGATGCGAAGAATTATTCATAATACAATGTTAAGCGCCTTTTACATTTACCATTTTTTAAAGATGGGTTCCCTTATTTTCATATATGAAAATGAAAATGCCAATACTTATATGAATAGAAAATAAAGGTGTTCTAATGACTTGGATAAATACTAGTTTGCCCATAAGTAATTCCAAATTAGCTAAATTAGAAGAGAATTACCATAAGAATTTCATTAAGTGACCGATCAAGAAAGATCAAAAAATCTTTTTGTTTATCCAGACGGTACATACATGGACATTTATGATTAGGTAAAAATCTTAATTATATGCAATAAGATCATAATGATATGACTTAGAATACATGATAGTTCATAAGAGACACCAATTAATCAAATAGTTTGCTTAATTTTAATCTCAAAAATAAGGAAACCCAACTTTTCCTTAAAAATCAATCGGTTCTGGAATCACTTTACACCACGCCAACCCATCTCACCACTCCCATACAGGCCTGTTTTATAGGCATCACCCTTATCATTTTACAGGAATAAAAAATGAGAAATGATTTACCTTTTGATTAGGTGAAGTTCAATGTGTAGAGGATTACTACAATGTTCTCTATACAGTCCGATTTGTAGTTATCATAACAACGTGCTTACTATCAGGTCCGGTTTTAAGCATGTTATCTGTTGCGTCATTATGTTTAGTTTTTCTAAATGTTTGAAACTGCAACTTATCCACAAATAAAATAAGAGTTTAACATTGCATGACAAGGTATGACGTATCTACACATTATTTTATGTTATCAATTCAAATCTTTATTAAATTCTATCGTGTTTCCTTGTTCCAAAAATATTCAAGAAAAGTAATAATAATTTTTAAATCTTCTCGGTTAATTAAGAAAGTAAAGATGTATTACCGCAACGCGGATTAATAATTTTGTAATTCCAGAAATAACACAAAGGTTCTAGCTAAAAATGGACCCATGATTTCATTGACTGTATATCATTATTTGTCAAACTAGTTAACGATTGACAAATGTTAAGTCTTTTGGCGAGTTTGTTTTCGTTATTAGACGTTTGTGATTTTGACAATACTGCAGTCTAATAAAAATTAGACCAAACTTTCGTTCCGATTTTTATAAGCTCTTATTTTAATAGAGTCACTATTTAGGGTCTTAAGACTGGCCTCATTCAATCGTCAAAGGTTATTCGGCGAATGTTCAAGATGCCAGTCGTTAGATAATAAAAAAAGGAACGAATATTTTTATTTTAATTAGACTGACAATAGGCCTACTGGTAACACATTGAAGCGTTTAGTAAAATAATGTTTGATTTTCGGTCAAGTGTACTGTACATTGCAAAAATAGCGATGGTCCATCATAATACGCCCATTATTGTAATGGCAGCCAAGTCATCCAGGCAATTGACAAGAGCTATCAATAAATGAAATATTTCGAGAGTAACATTTTCATACTGCACTAGATTTATTCAAAGACTTTTTGAAGAATTTTTTCTTCTTGAATTTTACGAGTTAAAGATTAAACACATTTTAAGAACAAGGACAATAACACATGTTAAATATTTTTCGATTTTCTGCTTTTCAATAAAGTTCGAGTGATTCAAGCAAATTTCTATAAAATCTGGTGAAACAAGCTCTCTATTGTGACCACAATACAATTTCAACTAAAAACTGAACGCGTTTTCAAGAAAAAGGGCAAGAACTCATATCAAACAAACGTGCAATCGAGGGGGGCAATTTAGCAAAGCACCTTGACACCTCAATTGTTATGCTTCTCGAGGCCCTTTCCAGTATCACCTACAGCATGCTTCCAATATGCGTAGCCTTCAGTGATGAATTTTTATGCACCCGCAGATGTATTGTGAAACACCCGACATGGAAATCAAAAAGGGGCGTTCCTTGACATTTAATACTCCAGCCATGGAAATCGATCATACCAGCTGTTACTAAAATGGCGCCCAGACTTCGCTGGAAATTTTATTCTCGGTTGCTTTGGAACGTCTTCTTTTCCAATGTCACCTGGTACTCCTGTCTTTTCAGAGCATCTTGGTACTGCATCCGTTGTGTTGCCCGCTGTTGTTTTGATACCAGTGTCAATCGTAGTAGTGTCGGAACCATCAAGCAATTTGTCTTTTTTGATCAAATATTTATCCATTTTTCCTACGTTTGGTTGTTTGATTCATATGAATACAATTTAGGATAATATTAGTCTATTAGTATTTATAATCAACCAATCAAATTTAGAGACGAGACAGATTACAATCCAGCATCAGACCAATAATTTTTTTACCAATGACGCTTTACTGCAGACTTTTTATGATTTTCAACGAACTCAATTGTATCAAATTATCTATTCTAATGTAATTAAATTTAAAAAGCTATGATGTCTGGTTTCATCCTCAGCTAAGTATAAACAGAAAGATATTTAAAAACAGTTCTAGGCCTACAGATAGGAATACTTAGTATTTTGTTGAACCATTTCGCATAACGCAGCCCTGAAAGCCATAACCTTATTTTTCGTAACGTATAATCAAAATATAGCAGCTGACTGGTGCAATTACTCCACCATAAAATGCCTGACCAGAATGACCACTGTTTGCTATTCACTCAGACTCAGTTACCTGCCGCTCCTATTGACTCAGGAAAAAGAAAAGGTGTATTATAAAAAATTGACCGGTACATTTTTCTAGGGGGG